TATTTGTACAAAAGTAGAAATTTGTATTTTTCAAAATTATACGCTTTTATCGGCTTTTATAGGGAGTTTCGGCATATGGCACTCAGGCAAAAATTTGGTCGGCATTTGTCACCTACATAGATAAAAAGCAAATATACCGAGTTTGGGCACGATCGGGAATTTACAATTGACCAAGTCCCCTTGTCAGTCTTCAAACGCAAGCAACCGTTAATTCTACTGTTTGATCATAAAGACAACCGATACCAGCGCGGTTGTGGGTCGCGGTGCGCAGATGCGTGGGTGCGTGGGTGCGCATGTGAGATCACTGGTGGGTCGCGGTTCGGACCCCGGTGATTATCTCGCGGGGGAAACGTTTTCCTGCGGGAAGTGACAAGGGAAGGGGCAACACTGACGAGCGCCTCATTGCAGCTGGACAGAGGGCCGGGCGGACAAGGCGGGGCCTCACCTGGGCCGACTGGTCCGGGAGCGATCAGGTGCCCGTGCACGCCAAGCAGGTGGGCAGCAGCGACGAGGAGTACTACCGGAACGGCATCCACTTCGAGCTGTACACCGTGTAAGTATACTCTTAGGGGGATTCATTCTCCTCGTCAGACGACGTGTCGCCAGTTTTCATTGACGCCTCTCCTTTGGACAGTAAGAACCCGGACGAGCCCGAGCTCCTCGACATTTACTCGTCAGAGCTCGATTTTGAGACGGTCTTCGACGCCCGACGCCCAACCAAGGTGGCCGTGCACGGCTGGCTCAGCGACGGACTCGGCCTGATACAGCTGAGGAAGGGTGAGACCAACAACTTGAGGCAATGCCTTTTAATGATAATCATTTTAAAATACAAATCGACACTATTTAAGGAAAGTGATAAGCTGTAATGGCGTCAAAATGATCTTATATCAACGGCGTAGTCTCGAAGGATCCACACACGTCACGATGTGACGCGACTCTGGTGTTGACTCGTCCTTACGCGCAACCCCCCCGTGCCTGCAGCGTTCCTCGCCACCTCAGACGTCAACTACATCGCGGTCAACTGGACCGACATCGACACCATCGTGTACCCGCTGGCGCGCTACCACGTGTCCAGCATAGCACAGCGCGTCGCCTTCCTGCTGGACTTCCTGCGCATCATGTTCGGCGTGCCGCTCTCCTCCGTCCACGTCATCGGCCACAGCCTCGGCGCGCACATCTCAGGCCTGGCGGGCAGCATGGTCCAGTGGGGCAGGTTGGGCCGCATCACAGGCGAGTCCTCTTAGGGATCGTCCAGGAAAGTACACCTCCGTTTTTCTCGGATTCTTTGGTCAAGTCTCGGGAGCTCGGCGCCTGCGAGACTCGGGGTAGGCTACACCGCAGTACACGCACGCACTGCAAACCAGATGTTGCCTACCCATCAGGCGCTATGAGAGCTGCTTGCATAGGCCGAACTTGACAGATCCATAGCGGAGAATGGCGAGCGTACTTCAGTACCGTCCAGAAATTTCTGGATGATCCCTTACCACTTATTGTTTAAGTCCTAAAACTTTCTCTCACGCGCATTATGGGTGTAAAACTCCTCGTCCCACGTGGGGTGACGTTCCGAAGTCGTAGAGCTAATAAAACCCCTCTGCCGCAAATCGATCAGGTCTAGACCCGGCCGGACCGCTGTTTTTAAACGACCCGACGCGCCGCCTGGACAAGAACGACGCCATGTTTGTGGACGTGATCCACACGTGCGCCAACCTGCTGGGCTACAGGGACGCCATCGGCCACACCGACTTCTACCCCAACGGCGGGAACTGCTTCCAGCCGGGCTGCGCCCTGACAGACATGACCCGTGAGCTGCTCATCCTTAACGAGTAGAAACGTAATGTTCTTCTCGTCGCACACTAATGTAAGCTGTCTCTGCTCTCCCAGAGGGGACGTGCAGTCACGACCGAGGTTACGACTTCATGGAAGAGTCCATACGCGGGGGGATCTTCACGGCATTCCCGTGCGCGGGGGCGAACAGCGCCCCCGACTTCAGTCAGCCAGATAAAAACATAGTGATGGGCGTTTCTACGCCGCCCAGGTAAGGAAACCCAATTATCATAGTTACCCAAAAAGAAAACTGCCACGAATTAGGGATCGTCCAGAAAGTACGTCCGTTTTTCTCAGATTCATTTGGCAAAATACGGGAGCTCCACGCCTGCGAGGCACAGGGTAGGCCACCCCACAGTACACGCCTGCACTGAAGGCTGGATGTTGCCTACTGATCAGGCGCCATGGAACCTTGCATAGTCTGACCTTGGCATGTTCGTAACGGAGATTGACGGACGTACTTTCTGGATGATCCCTTATCACATCACAGTAATATACCTTTGTCACCGTGAAGTCTTTTCTTCAATTGCTGTCCATCCTCCTGGGGATAAGAAAGACCAGCAGAGCGTCACACCACTAGGCCATACTATTTTACGCTTACCGCATGACTGTTTGCACAGCTCGAGAGGATCCTTCTGCCTCTACACTAACGATGCATCACCCTTCGCAATGGACCAGACCAAGCAGCTGAAGGTTGCCGCGAATACCAGTACTACCGAACCTGACGAGCAATTCAGGGCAAGGGTCTACAGGACCTTCATGCGCAGGGGAACAGAATACGAAAGTTTGGGAAGAGACATGCCCGACTTTTAATTGGGAAGAAGTTAGAAACTTACCAAAATAAAACTTACTACAAGGTCTGAATTCTGTGAATACATTTTGTATCTTGATTTATAGCAATATTATGATAGTAAAAATAAATAAGACTGAAGTTTCTGTTTGTGCAGGAGAGTACGCATTGCAGTACAAGAAAAAGACACAGTTCCCAGGATGATACGAAAAATCAAAAGCGTCGAAACACATGTGCCATATTACCTAAACCCAACACCAAGTGCGAAATAAAGATAATTTTGCACAGAAAACAATATGCTTCACCTAATTTGAGTACTAACGATAAAAATATGCACCCAATTGCTTTACTCCGCACGATCAATAGATTATTAATTAGATGGTCTAGTAGGGGATTAGTTCTTTCACATTTTTAAGGATTAAAGGTTGGCTGCTATTAAGTATATTAATGTCAGGTTTTGACAAGAAATATAACACAAAATGGACATGTTGAGCATCTTTTAAGTACAGCAACTTAAAAGCACATTATAACAAGTGGCTGATTCACGCCGCGCACTACTGTAGGTATACTGTACCTCATGCAAGGGGGTGGGCGGACTTGCCTATCGCCCCTGTCCACGGCACCAGACGAGCCGAGCGAGTAGGCAACCTGCCCGCACTCGTGCATGCGGTACAGCATAACTACAGTAGTGCGCGGCGTGAATCAGCCACCTGGTATGATAATGGCGATATGAAAATGTTCTGTCGGGCTGTCTGTCTATCTGTCTCTGCGATTGCGAGCATTTGTCAACGGTGTATTCTAAGTGGGGAAAATGAGGAATAACGACATTTGCAACGTTTTTGTGAGCAGAGGCAAGATTTTATTTGCGGTGTAGAGGGCTCACAGAGCATGACGCGTTCGTCCTGAGTCCAGCGCGACAGCTTACAGGTATGCGCGGACGTCGTCGTCCTCGCGGACGATGTCCTCGTCCAAGAGCCTGTGGCTAGGGGTGTACTTGTGGGCGGTCTGCTGGGAGAGGACGTTGTCGAAGTCGTTGACGTTCTTCTTGATGAGGACGTTGTTGTTGT